CAAACTTGCTGATAGTACACTCAATTCCCTCATCTAAATCGTTAATGAATATATTAAATAATACTGGTCCCAGTACCGACCCTTGAGGCACTCCACTAGATACAGGCCTCCAACTAGACTCCGCCCCATAGACTACAACTCTCTGGCTTCTCTCCTTCAGCCAGTTCACAGTCCACCTCACTACCCGATCATCCAGACCACACTTCCTCAATTTAGCCGCAAGGATGCTGTGGGAGACAGTGTCAAGCGCTTTGCTGAAGTCGAGGTAGACCACATCCACCGCTCTACCATCATCCATCCACCGTGTTATTTCCTCATAAAAGGCTACAAGATTGGTCAAGCACGACTTCCCCTTGGTGAAGCCATGTTGACTGCCCCTCATAACCCTCTTATCCTTGATATGCCTTAAGATGGCACCAAGGATAAGGTGTTCCATCACTTTCCCAGGAACGGAGGTGAGGCTAACCGGTCTATAGTTACCCGGGTCCTCCTTCTTGCCCTTTTTGAAGACAGGAGTGACATTTGCTTTCCTCCAGTCCTCAGGCACCTCTCCCGTTTCCCAAGACTTGGTAAAGATGATGGAGAGCGGTCTAGCAATGACCTCAGCCAGTTCCCTCAGCACCCGCGGGTGCATCCCATCTGGACCCATGGATTTATGGATATCCAGATTGCTCAACTGGTCTTTAACCCATTACTCATCGACTAAGGCAGACCGCTCCGTTGACCTATCTTCATCCGGGGTCTCAGCGGTACAGGGCTCTTCAGGACTGCCTCCAGCAGAGTAGACAGAGACAAAGAAGTCATTCAGTAACTCTGCCATCTCTGTATCTTCTGTCACCAGGGCACCCGTCCTGTTCATCAGCGGGCCTACATTGCCTCTGGTGTTAGTTTTACCTACCATGTATTTGAAAAAGCTCTTTCTGCTGTCCTTGACCCCTCTCGCCAGCTTTAATTCCAAGGAGGCCTTAGCCATCCTAGCAGCTTTCCTACATCCTCTAGCAGCAGCCTTATATTCTTCCCAAGTGGCCAGCCCTTCTTTCCATGACCTGTAAACTCTCCTCTTCCACTTGAGCATACCGAGCAATTCCCTATTTAACCACGCAGGTCTCCTGACCCTCTTCCTCGACTTCCTACGTGTCGGGATGCTCCGATCTTGAGCTCGGAAAAAGCAGTCCTTGAACGTCAACCAACTATCTTGGGCCCCTTTCCCTTCAAGCAGCCTAGCCCACTGGATTTCCCCTAGCAATCGCTTGAAGAGGCCAAAGTTTGCCCTGCTAAAGTCCAGGGTTGCGATTCTACTTGCTATTCTATATATCCATCCTATCATCTCCATAGAGGCACAAAACTTTCTGAAGAACATGCATCATAAACTGGTGTTGCATACAGAAGAAGACTCAGCACAAAAGTAAGAAATTAGACTAAGAAAATATATAAAAAAATAAATGCAATTCTGTAAATATTTCTTTTTGCAAAAGGATGATTTTCACTGCATGGAATAAACTTTTTTTCTATTTTACAAGTATTCCAATGCCTACATGATAAGCACATCCAGTGTCTGCAAAAAAATGAACAAAACTATTACACATTAGTCTATTACTGAGGGAAGCTGTACAATTTATTATCTGGACTATTTGTTCATCTTAAGTTGTTTGGAAACCAGATATCCAATATGAAGACAGTAATACACGTTTAAAAAATAATTAAGGCTCAGATTAAAGCCAGCAAGATTAAAAGCTATGTCAGGAACATTTAACCTTAATTATTGAGTGAACCTGTATAGAACAGAATGCTTTTTCCAGAATTTTGTGAACTGATTTTTGGGAGGGGGCAGGGGTTACATAATGAATTCATTGATTCTTAACAAACATGAAAATAGATGTAAGACTATACAGCAGAGTTGAAAAGTTTGGTGGTGGTGGTTTTGTTTGCTTGTTTTGCTTTTTTAAAGTTGAACTTACTTTTTTGAAGTGGTGCCAGAAATTCCAAGATCTGAAAATTGTAAGAAAGATTGGGGGAAAAAAAAAAAAAAGTCATTTGTTTAGTAAATTAAAGCATGTCAAAGTAACAGCTCATGTTTCATTGCACATGGGCTTATACAGAATAATAACGTTTTGGCTGTCTTCATTTAGACAGCATTGGAAGACTGGCCACAAGTACCCCTTCTTTAAGACAAACTTCTTAGCAACACTGCAGATGCCTTATACTTTAGCAAGGATTTTTGCTCCATAAGCAAACCAAAGTAACAAGAAATTTAGGTCTACAAAATGCAAAGTTATTTAAAATCACTGAACTATCTACCATGAATAAGAGCAGTAGTTTCTGTTCCTCATACATATAGAAACATACATGTAAATCTCAATGTCACCTGGAAGTTTTGCACTGATTTATCTGCTGTCATGTACATGGGAACTCCAAGTAGTTTCCTTAATTACTCTTTGGAAGAAGTTTTAAGCTAAGTTTTAAAGAATGCTTTTCTCACATGACCAGTATAAGTCCTGTAAGTCACAAACTGCTAAATTTTATTTCCCCGCCAAACTTGGATATACCAAATGTCTTGAAGAAAAGGTTTCAAGTGATTAAGAGTCCTGCTGACTTCCAAGCATGGTGGTTTCCCTATGTACTTAACAGAAAAGTAGGCATCACAAGATCAGCTAGGTCTTTGCTGGGGTACATTTACATATACTGACAGAGTATTCCATTTATACAATCCTCCAAAGTATGACTTTAGTAGTATTATACCTTAGCCTAGGCATGGCCTGTTAGGCTTTTTGGAGGGCTGCGACTACTGATCTCTTGTTATAAAGTCTTTAGCCCTTTTCCTACTACAGGAAAAAGAACATATTCTAGGTTAGTATTTCAAGAACATGTTTTGGAAAGTTCACTTGCTGAGAGAAGGTCTGCTGCTGGCTGCTGTGCACACCTCACCCCACTGCTACTCCTCCTCTCATTAAGCAGAAAATCAGCTATGTGTCCACCAGCTTTTCTGCTTATTTTGCACAGTGCTTTCAAGATGCTGTAGACAATTTTCACCTTTCCATCCTTCTGCTTTCCAGAGGGCACATCCATTAAAAATCTGACGTGCCTTTGAATATACACTGGACATTCACTTGCTACAAAACATACCTACTGAATAGATCCCAATATTTGACTGAGGTCCTGGGCAGAAAGAGCAACAAGTTACGAACCCAGACTAAAAGCTATCTGAATCAGGCCTTATTCCTGTCTATAGCTTTCCTGATCTCACCAGGAATACCGGAGGGTATTTGGCCCCATGGAAAAGTAACACAGTTGCATGCCACCCCACTCAAAACTAAAATTTGTCACTTACTGCCTACTAGGTTTGCAAGAGACGAATCGAGATCGCTTCCAAGGCCTTTGTTTGCTGCTGAAGCAGTGACTGTTGCTGGGGCTGAAGGTGCTATAGATTGACCAGAAGGAACCATAGTTGGCATAAGAAGATCACCTAAGCCATCAAACACTGAAAGTGAAAGAAAAACAGGTTAGAACAGCATCTCTGGTAAGGAAAACACTACCTGCCATTTCGCTGTTGATCTGACAAATCTATCACAGACAACCACATCACAAGTCTTACCAAAACATCGTCTGACATTACAATTAATGCCAACAAGGGCATGCATGTTGTTTTACTAGACACCAAATGTCAGTAATCCTGAAAGAGCTATACCAATAAGAATTTAATATGGAAGGGCATGCCTAAAAGGACATTCATTGGAGAGCTGAATCCGTGTACATACAGCACCACTTCCACACGACAGTACTTTTCTCACAGACACCCTTAGAAAGACGTTAGATGTACACGCATTTGTCAAGCAATATTAATCAAAAATGATTTTAAAATTCACATCTTGCAGCAAACACCAGTCAGAATTACTGTGGTAAAGGCAGTCTTATACCTTGACATCTTAGGGTAACAGGATTGAAAGTCTCAAGATGTTACTATTCACTCACAAGCAGCAGGGAATCAGGAAAACCTACTAACATCTTATTAGATCAGAAGGAACCAGAACCATCCACACTGACAGTCGTTAGTCCAGTCATAAAACTCAGAAGTTCGTTTTTTAGATCACATGAAGTAAAACCATCTGGTACATCTCATGCCAGCATTCTGTCTTCTGATCCATATTTGAGGTACATGCTAATGTTAAGTTGACACAAAGGGGTAGTATGTGCACTGGCAAGCAACCAAATAACCAAGCAGCAGTACTACTTCAACTATTTTTTCTTATACAGTTGCAGAACTCACCAATTTAAAGTTTGTAGCAAGGACCCAGCATGGAAAATATAGAATGGAAGAGATGCAAACAAAACGATAGCAGTGATGACAGTTTAAGCTTATAGTCAGGCGAAGAACACAACCCCAGTCTCTGTATTTTGTGTACACTCAGGTGCCATGCAAGCTCAAGAACAGCTTCAGCAGCAGCAGCAAGATGACTTGCCTATATACTTGATTTATAGAACAGTGTTTTCCTTGTGTAATTCCTGATTCATGCAATCAGGCACATGCAAGGGTGTTCACACTAGTGTGTTTTTTACTGATGTAGGAGAATAGAAAATAGGTACAGAGAGCTCTTGAGTGCACACCAACCTAAACATCACCCTGAGTTCTTCCAGTAGAGAAGGAACAAAGAAATTACTGATATTTCTTGTACTCAGAGCCTAAATATGGTGTCATGAATTAATCTAACATAAAACACATTAGAAAATTCACAGGAAGAAACCCTGTGGCTCACCTGATGCATCAAACGAACTGCCAGTCGTTGGAGCTGTTGACCCAAAAGCTGCATCAAAGTTAGGCTGTAGTAAGCTGGTTTGAGCTGGAGTAACTGGGGATGGTGACGGAGAGGGAGCAATAAAAGAACCTCCAAAGCCTTGAAAAAAACACGTAAAAGAGGTACGGGCATTAGAGTCAGTTATTGGTCTATGTTTAACAAAGAAAACCCCAAAACAAACAAACCAACAAAAAAAAAAACCACCAAAAAAATTGATCTATAAAAGGCAGTAGAATAGAGACAGCTCTTACTAGACCAGTGTAAATAACTCAGTAGTACACAAGCATACTTGGTATGTCAGGTATGACCCAGGGAATCTAAAATTATATCAGTCACCAATAAAAACTCTAATGTTTGTTATTTAGACTTCTGCAGAGCCTGGCCAATCAAGCAGAGGACACAATTCTTCCAGTACTACACACTATCATTCTAGATAAGTAACTACACAGGCAGAACGCAACAATCAAGAATTAGTTCAGGAAAAAGATAAAAAGAGGACTAACTTGAGAAAAGCCTATGATCATCCATCAACCACTGTAACAGTAATTCAGAAGAAACTGTCTTCCTAATCCAGTTTAGCCTCTCTTACCATCTTAAAATATTCTGGTCTCCCTTATAAAGGTGTCTTCAAGCTAGTGCCTCCTGCGCTACCCTACCCCCCCCACACCAAAGCAAGATCAACAGCATCCACAAGTGAACTGCTTGTAGGCTGGAGAATCCCCATGATTAAGGTTAATGTATATATTATAAACCCTATATTTAAATAAATAAACCCAACTCATGACTGTTCTCAAAATCCCTCACTTGGCCTCCATATAATTTGATCTCCCTTGCAACTAAAGCTTATTTATATTATCTACAAACTCTGGAAAATGATTACATATGCAAAGACATGAAAACAGATATATGACACTTTCTCAATTCTCTGTAGTTCTAAGACACTCCTCTTATTCAATATCTCTTCTTGACAGTCATCTCAATTCTCTGTAGTTCTAAGACACTCCTCTTATTCAATCTCTTCTTGACAGTCACATCTGAGACCTCTGTACTACACCTTCAGTCTCTTGGTCTTGTTTTTAACCCATCTGCCTGTGCAGATCAGATCTGAGTTCAGTGCTCCAACTGTGACTACAGAAATATAGCAAAAAACATTCTGAACAACCTGCAGGCTGTATTATTTTTCCCCTAGGTCACTGTAGGAAGCATTATTTTGCCATAGCTGAACAGAAGCCAGTGACAAGCCAGTGCTCTACCACTGCCTTCAGTTTATTTCAGGGAATGTCCTGCCTTACAGTCCTTATTTGTCCAGCTAATCATTTCTACCTATATATAGAAGCTTGAACGTTTACTCATTTGGAAGTATCTGTCCTAGACCGTCACCTTCTAGTAACTGAAGGGGGGGGACTCTTCATTAGACTGTAGTGATAGGACAAGGGGTAATGGGTTAAAAGTTAAACAGGGGAAGTTTAGATTGGATATAAGGAAGAAATTATTTACTGTGAGGGTGGTGAGGCACTGGAATGGGTTGCCCATGGAGGTTGTGAATGCTCCATCCCTGGCAGTGTTCAAGGCCAGGTTGGACAGAGCCTTGGGTGCCATGGTTTAGTGCGAGGTGTCCCTGCCCATGGCAAGGGGGTTGGAACTTGATGATCTTAAGGTCCTTTCCAACCCAAACTACTCTATGATTCTATTCTATGATTCTATGACCTGTCCCAAGTCAAAGCTCCATGCATTCAACTATCACCAAAAATGTAATAAATCTCTGATGAATCAGACCAGAAGCAGGCTGACAAGATGCAGGGATGACAAAGGCAGCTGACTGCAGCAATTCCTAAAGCACTGGAGTCATCTAAAGATCCCATGCTCAGTTAGATCCTTCCCGTTTCCCTTCCAATTTTCTGAATGATCTTAATTCCACAGGTTTTAGCTTTGTGCAACTTAACAGCAACATCAGGCACAGAAGCCATAAAAATGCTTTAACAGATTAAGTTCCTAGTTGTCTGGGGCTTGCACAAGACCCAGAGTGAGTCTGCATAAACAGTAGCAACCAAGTTACATGTGTTGTCTGGACATCCTGAGCTGCCTGAGTTTGACTTTGGTTTTGCTTACACATTCAAGTACTATTTCTTGTAAGGACATGCTATTACGGTATGTACTGGGATACACATGCACACAGTTTAACTGGATACAAGTATCTAGAAGGGAATTTATCAGCATGTATTTATGTATTTATCAGCATAGTTCTAGTCTTGTCTGCTGAGAGGCTTAGAAAAGCATGAAAAAGACCCTACCATATTTGTTAAGTGAGCCAAGAAGAGACTAGAAACTTGACAGCAGAACACTTAAGACAACGATGCACAGTAAGTATGCTCATACCATTTGCATATAAACACTTAGTGCAACCAAACACTCATAAACCATGAAGGACATGCCTTTAGCCACCATATGAATTCTGGACACTCTTACATTTAAAACTGGATTACACTGCAGGCTATACATCTGCCATTATCTAGGGTGAACAAATGTTTAGCAATATGCTGTGATGTTTACAGACTCTATCTGCCAAAACAAAAAAAGATTAAAACCTTCTTGGAGCCCTTGTGAATGCATATTCAAAGCAAAAACAATTTTTGCCTTTAAATCATCTATTCACCCCAACTGCTTCAAGCCTGCTTACATATTTAGACTTATTACATCCTCTTTATAATTTTGGTTTTGATTTAATGTGATTCATCAGATTCAGAGAGCACACTGATGAAGTTTAAGCCATCTGGAACATAATTCCCACTGGAATTTAAGGTTAGTTATGGATAAAGACAAGATATTTTATAATGCAATGTTTGCATAAGCAGGATGAGCTGCTGCCCAATAACAGCTTTGAAACAGAACCAGTAACATAAAACTGCAAACGACTGGTATCTTTCAGAACCTACTACTTAAAGCCCTATCTCCAGCCTTAAGCTATCCATAGACTGTTGAACCAATGTTTAAAAAAAAGTGGTCTTCCACCTTAAAATCCTGAAGTTGCCTGTACTAAAGCTTTAACATGCATTTATGCATTATGTGCCACTTTAAGCAGCTGGCTTGCCAGCACTGGAACTGACAGAGCATGGACACATACATTATTATTATTATTATCTAGACTACTTCTACCTACCTGCAGCACAACTGGGCAACAGCCACAATTAGAGCAGGTAGTAGAAAATGTATCCTCTTCTGAGCTGGCTTCAGTGTGCAAACACCTACCTGTATCTTCCTCTTGCTCTCTACAAACTTTAAACTGGCATGGGGTGGAGTCACAACTGTTCAGCATCATCACTAGAGCCACTAAGATACATGATATAGCATGAATTTTGGAGAACAGTACAGAGTTCTGCTGAAGCTATCTGTAGGATGCAGACTACGATGACACAGTTATTCAACCTTTGAAATAGGGTGTGACAGGGATCCCACATCCAGCACTAGCAGAGACCTCATCTTACCCTGTATAAATAGAGCGTCTCTATCGCTTCTATGCCCTTGTACTCAGAAAAGCTCTCTCATCACCCCACTCTTCCTCGCTAAATGCAAGACTACTACTAAATTATTCATTCAAGCTCCTACCATTTAAGTGTATAACCTGCCTCATTTAAATCAACCAAGAAATTAAGATGAATTAGCAGTAAGGAACAGCAGCATAGCCTGCAATACTGCTTAAGTACTGCTACAGTCAGCCTAAGAAACTTTATGTATACACTCCTGTTCAGTGACCAGTACAGAAAAAATAAGGTTTGTGCAAGAGGCAGGAAAATGAAGAACATGGGAAGAAGATAATCTAGGAAGTTAACTTGCACTTCAGTATAGTGCCTCCATTATAAAACACTGGTTTTGTTTTAAGGCACCTAAAGTACTAGGAAATCTTGTGAACAAGTATTTTATTCCACTGCAGGAATACACTTACACCCAGGAATATAAACAATTTCAATGACCATTTCTTAGTTTTGCCTTAAAATAACAAGTTTTTAGAAGTTCTTTATTACCAGCAAGTAGGTCTGCAGAAGCTGAGGAACTAGAAGCAGCCTGGGTTGCGGGCTGGGGTTCAGAAGCACTACTTCCAAAAGCATCTAAAGGGAATTCCAGAAAGCATCAAGAAAAGGTAGAGTTCAATATTAAAGCCATCAATTAGTCATTTATTGCCCACAAAAGATGACAAAAAGATAACCGCTTCATTCATCAGAAGAAGAAAATGAAAGTGCTTGGCCATCTTTAATGCAGACCAGTGCGATGGGTGCGAAGTTCAGGTGGAAAAAAGGAGGTGCAACAAACCAGTAGTAGAAAGAAATCACTTTTCTTTTAGTTGGGCCTCTTCTCAGAAAACCTATACAAACCACAGCATTCCTAGTCGAGAGAGTTAAGCCCTTTGGAGATGAATGCATCAGATGAGAGCTGGGAATAATTCCAGCCAGAACCTACTAACTCACAGTAAGTCTTTTTAGAGGAATATTTCACTTATGTTTGAAAATTCACTACTTTTAAGCAACATTCCTGTTCCACAATGCTCCTAAAATTGGTTTTGCTCATCCTAATTTCCACCTTGTCAAATCCAGCAAAAATCCTGTGATCCAGATACACAGTTTGAAACAAGTCACGCTCAAAACTTCAGCTGTTTTGAGAAACAGAACTGAGAGAAAACGGTGTGATATGGAGAGTTCCAAAAAAGAAAAAGAGCACAACAGACTTTCATTGGATTTCTGAGGAAGAGCCATACATGCACTGGGTGAAAAGAGAACGGCAAGTGTCATGCCAACAGAATGACCACAGTGAATGAATGACAGCTTATTTGCAGTTCATTATTGTGCAATACGAAGAAGTGGACGTGCCATTCTTAGCCATATTGCTACACAGAAAAGCTGTGAGAAGAAGAAACTTGAAGCATTAGCAAAGCGCAAAGGTAATTGAAATGAAGTGATTCAACTCTGAAGTGGTGAGGAAAGAAAAATACCCACCACCAAATAGGTCAATCACACCTGAAGAATCCACCTTTGCTGGAGAGGCAGTGGGTAGAGGAGAGGGGGCTGCAAATGCATCCACTGCAGTAAGCACAGGATAAATAATATTTAGTATCAGCAAGGCAACAATGATAGCTAAATATTCCAAAGCCACATGGGCTCCACCAGCTAGAACCACAGGGTTGGTAAATTCAGGTAACAGTCTTCAGAACTGCAAATAGAAAGGGTTACATTTCTCACACGGCGACTGAAAACCACAGTACTTTACAGAAAGCATCGCCTATTAAGAATTCCGTTATGCTTAGAGGCAGATTTATTCTCTCAACAACCACATTACTCACTCAGCTTCAGTGGCAGCCACTTCATGGTTTGCATCTTCAGCAACTGTACATCTTGTGACCAAAGCATCAAACCCGCAACTTAGTATATTGGCTTAAAGACGTAAATTGGCAAGAAGTTTGGGTTGGGCTGTTTTCATTATTTTTTTCCCCTTTTTTTTCTTTACTTTTGGGAGAAAAAAAAAACAACCAAACCCAGGAAGTCTGTAGGATGGCCTGTGAAAAAAAGCACTCACCAGATAAGAGATCAGCAGTAAGAGAACTCTCAGGCACAGGAGAAGCTCCATGTGGTGGAGATGAAAAAGCATCTTCCAGAAATGCAAGAAAAAACAAGGAGAAGTAAGTATCATTCAAGACAGTTTACATTATTGCACAGCATCAAAGCAACGGAGCATTGGAAAAACTCGCTCTTTACCTGTACCAAAGAGATCTATGCTAGGAGTAGCATCTGGTTTAGGTGCTGCAGGTACGTCAGGAGCAGACTCAAATAAATCTAAGGCCAAGAACATAACACATATTTAACTCATTTTTGAAAGGTGGAACTGAAAGCAGAACTTTCAAGTTTTGCACATTGTATTTGAAGTTAACAGGCTCTCTGGTTAGAAAGCCTAGCACACAGCATGCATGCAACATGGATTTGTTTGTTTTGTACTCTTGACAGATCAATCCACCAGAATCAAAGAGTTAAAAACAAAATTACCACCAAAGATATCTAGAGCAGGAGGAGCAGAGGTGGTGGCGGGAGCAGAGGTGGTGGCGGTAGTGGTAGTGGCAGTAGCTGTAGTAGCAGTAGCAGCAGCAGCAACAGCAGCAGCTGGAGAAGGAGTTGTTGCAGGAACTGGAGTGGCTGCACTAGTTGTAGGGGTAACTACAGGAACAGCAGTCTCTGTTGGCTTCATAGCAAAGAGGTCCAGCTCAGGAGCAGCCTCTGCACTACCTTCGGATGGGGCAAAGGGGTCTTGTAAAAAGGAGAGGGGAAATATATGTGTATGCATACTTAGGATCAGTGAGGCAGGAAGTCAAGAACAAAGCAACTACAGGCAATGCACATACTGCAAACACAAACACAGAGGAAGTCACTCTAACATCTAGTTTACTTATCCAGACACGTTACTTATGTTTTTCCAAAATAAAGACCATCTGAAAGGCTGAGCAGTTTATTTAGTAAAGGGGAGAACTGTCAAAGGCTGTTTGACAAGGCCAAAAGTAAAAGACAGAAATATGACAAAAGAACATCCAGATTAGCAGGTTACTGCTTACAAAACTTAGCACTGACAGAATTGTTTATTATCATTACCAAATAATCACAAAGTTACTGAGACTTGAAAACAGGCAGTTTTGTCAAGCATGCTTTTCAGCCTAAGGTTTGTTTTGACCAATTGCAAACACTAAGAAGATTTCAGAAAAACACACTGCCATGTAGTTTGAACAAACAAAAAAAACCAGCAAAACAAGAGACCGTCTAATGACATAAAACCCACCATTTCCTGAACATGCATCAAGAGCTGCTGCTACAGGGGTTGGGGTAGCTGGTGCTGCTGCCCCTTCAGCTGCTGCAGGGGCTTCCCCAGGAGAAGCTGCAAAGGCATCTTGGGTGCAGTTTAAGAACAGAAATCAAAAGGAAAAAGGATAAAGAGAAGAAAAATATAGTAAAAGAACCAAGTTAAATGGCACAGGTAGATCCCCTTATACAACATGAATGTTGTTAACTCTGACAGCAAGACAAGTCATGCAGCGCAATACGCTTTGTCTCTCCCCCAGCCCCACGCGAGCAGGTTCTAGATAGGGTTTGAAGAAGGAGCTTCTTGGGTTGCCAACAGGAAATACAGTAAGTGTAAAAGGCATTATTCTCATTGTAT